ACCCAAAGCTTAGTTGATGCACGATTTTTGCTTGTTTAAACAGGAACGTCAACTGTCGTACTGTTGAGTAGCTGAGAAATTCAAAAAAAAAAAAGTTTGAACTTTTTTTCAGCAGCAGAGCAGTTGTCGTTGGAGAATAAAGATTGAAGGAAACCAAGGTTGCTGAACAAGTCTTTTGCTATAGTGTTGTCGGGTCACCACGAATGACCCACGTTTTTGGTGTTTTCAAATCTGCTTTTTTTTTAGTGGCTGAAAAAATCAGTTATATGTAACTGTTTCAATTATTAAACAGTTTTTTTATTTTTAATTATCATTGGTATTGCTGAACCTGTCACAATATTTGTTTGGTTTGCTCGGTTTTTCTGATGCACAGTTTTGGATTTCCAAAGTTTTTGGCTAAACAACTTTGGAAAAATTTCTAGATATGTAACAAATTCTTTTGCCATTCAAAAGTTTTCAGGTTTCAATGCTTAATATTTATTTGTTTGCTGGAAGAATGAACTTCAGATACATAGGCTAGAAAACAAAAAGAAGCTAATGTTTCACATTTAGTGGATTTTTCCTCTAATTTTGACCTTCATTTTAACGATTTTTCTGAAGTTTAGTTTTTTTTGTTTTAAACAACTGAAACGTTTTAAAATTGTATGTTTTGGAACACTCATGTCTCTCTCTTTTTTTTTCTTTTGTCTAAAATATTATGCGGTTTATGCTGTTTTAACTTATTTGGGTAGGCAAATAAGCAGAAGGTAGCTATAATAAAGGGGAGGAGGATCTGTTAGTAACGTCTAAAATTTATTTAGTAAGTCTAGCAAAAAAAAAAAGAGTGGCTAAAGATTCGTAGGTATTATCTTGGTTCTACTTATTCTGCCTTTTTTTTTTGATATTTTGGGAATGATGATATGTTCTATACTTGATTTTATTTTTATTTATTATCGTCTTCGTCACTGCCGGTGTTGTAATTATTGTTGTTGTTGTTGTCGTCGTCGTTGTCGTCGTTGTCGTCTACTGCATCGTGCCTATTCGGAGCTTTCGCTGTCACTATAAAGGAAAGACAAATTAAAGTTACTTGGGAGAGACAAGAAATGTTGCATAATTAATTCTTCTTGTTATTTTGTTTTCAGGAAGGCAATCATTAATGATTTCATTGACAGACACTTAGTGGCATTATTTAGCAAGCAGATGACCCAATAATCTTATGCAAATTTGAGGTATCTGCAGCTGCATATTTTGAAAAAAAAAAAAAAAAAAAAAAAAAAAAAAA